CTTTCTGTTTTGATTCCTTTGAAATTGTTTCATATAGATGTGCTTGTGAAGGCTTGAAAAGAAATTCACCGAAAACATGTTCTCTTACATTGTGTGTTCTTAATCAATAGGCATATTTCGTGATTTGAAAATTGAAATTACTATTATCACACGAGATCCATGGTTGGAATGGATCCCACTGAAAAACTTGGGAGTCGTGCTCATGATTATTGAGGAAATTAGCGTGTCTTGACCAAAACGAACGAAAAAGTTAAAACACAAGGTGTTGGTGACAGCGCTTCGACCCTCCTGGAATGCCTTTCTCAAGTTGTTTAATCAGTTAATCTCACGTGACAAGCAATTATAACGCGATGGGATGATGACATCGTGTGGAACTCTGATGTAATTCGAGCATACATGTGTGCGCGTTTGCTAGTGTAGTATGTTCCAATCAGAGAGAAGACTCGAAGGGTTCGAACGAAATTATATTGATGCAAAACATAGCAACATTATAGGGATATGAAATGGTTACAATACAAAATTGTAGTGTTACGTGTGAGTGCTGTTTTCGGTCTTCGTTCTCAGTGTCTTCTATCACGGTGCCAGGCCCCACGCCACTTGTACAGCCTGTAAATGGAAAGGGGGAAAGTGGTTGTTAACGGCAATTTGGCATTCAATTACTGGACATGAGTCAGTTTCGAGTTCACACTAGTGATCGTTCGACCGGTGGTTGGGACGAGTGAAATCGGTCTGACCTTTAGGTCAAAACGTGTGAATCGATCATTTGGCATTGAGGGTGGGAGGTCTTGTGTTTTGGTTTTTCGTTCTTCATGGCTGAGACAAACTAATTTCCTCAATTATTATTATCTTTCCGAAGAATTTAACTTCTCAGTATTACATTCCGTGACCTGTACCTTAACCAACCTGCTTAGCTAGCCTCCGACTTCTGTGATATTTCTGCGCTGTGAAGTACCCAAGAAATAGACTTGCCTTCAGCGTGTGTTTTCTCAACATTCATTGAATCGGGCTAGAACATACGACCGTCTTTCGCGTTCATTTGTCCTCTCCGGCGGGGTTGAAAAGAGATTGATGGGGACTATGACTTTCCGTAGTTATTTCAGATTGCTTTGTTTTTAATATGAACCATTTGGAAGTAATCTTTAAACCGTGTTCGTTCTTAAACGATAAGATCTTATTGCGTGCGTCCTAACTTTCCTGTTGTCGTTTTCTTTTATTCTCAATGCATTCGCACACACCACCGCCCCGCTTTCAGGAAGCATCCCCAATTCGCACTTTGCATTTTCATCCTTCGGGAAACTTCTTGCTTGTGGGCACCCAACACAAAACACGTGAGTTTAGACATCCAAGTTGTATCTTGTTTGAAAATTCATTTCAAAATGGATAATTTGTGTAAGGCCCGTTATTTTCTAGTGACTCCTTGAAATGGCGACCAAAGTCTGTGAATAGTGAATGACATGGGTGATTAGGGTTCCGCATTATTTGATACACCAAAATCAATTCTCCTCGAATTCGGCGATACGGTGAGTAGTACAACCACAATGATTCCCGTATTTTTACGTAAGTCTTGGAATGCAGTCCCTTTACTATTTTGATGGTCATTCTTTGTGGACGTTTCAGAATCTTACGATCGCGTTGCAGCCATGACTTCCACGCTTGAATGGCCTACTCTATATGGGGTCGAATGTAGGTAAGTAACAAACCTGGAAACAGCGTAGGTTTAAATTTCCAAACACTCGTTTTGGCAAACCTCTTCTTGCAGCGGCGTACGATGCAACGGGGCAGTTTATAGGACAACCTAGGTTGTCGTGAATAGTGACATCATGATCCTTTTCATTCGAGGCATACGGATGTTATTGATGTCCCAGGAGGTACAAAAACCGAGTTTTGTGGCGTACATTTCGACGCATTGATTTCGATGTCATTTTCGATCAATCATTCATAAGCAGCAACAAGTACCGATGAGATCTCAAGTTTCGCCACGATTTTTCATATTTTTGCATCGTCGGCAAACATTAGTGTTAGATCTTTCATGAAAGCTAGAAAAAGTTGGGGGCCAAGCACGGATCCCTGTGGAACTCCTCTGTCTGGACCGATAGGATCAAATATTGACCCAGAAACCCGAACAATCATAGTGCGTTGCCGAAGAAATTCTTCTATCCAACCCGGGACAAGTCCCTGAATTCCATATTTGTGTAGTTTACTCAGCAATATTTTGTGGTAAACACGGTCAAATGTCTTGGAAAATTCGAGCTACACTTCGTCCACGCGAACACCGTGATCAACTGCTTTTGTCCAGTCTTCTCTTACCAGAAGCCTGTAAGGGGTACACGATCCCTCGCGACGAAACCTGTATTGCCTCGGGGTTAAGTATTGTTTTTTTCCAAGCGAATCATCACAACAACAACAACAATGTATTCCATTAATTTGGATAGTGCGGGGAGGACAGCAGCCGGGCTGTATTTAGCTGGATCACTGCGACAGCCATCTTCATATATTCGAGAAATTATTCCTTGTTTCCATGTTTGTGGGAGCACAGCTTTGTCAAACGTATGTTGGAATATCTCACTTCATGGTTGAATTAAGTTACTTGCCGGGTTGTAGATTTTTGTCATCCATCCCCGGAGATGAATTCCTTTTCAAACACTGCAGTTTCAGCACCATGGTTTCTGGGGAAAAATCAGTTGTGGTTAGCGTTGGTTGTGGTATGTCATCGAATAACAGAGGCAGTCGTAGTCCAGTGTTAGCAGGTTCAGTTAACATAGGGGCGTATTGAATTAGTGACATTTCGGCTACCTGCTTTGCTGTGACTGAGACACATCCTACCAATCTTAGCGCTGGGACGCCAGACTTGACCTTTCTAGAGGCACTTACATGTTTGTACAACAGCTTTTGATGGGATATAACCTTGCGCATCAGCATTTCCTGGTACATAAACTTGTCTTCCCACACCAACTTGGAGCGGTAGTTTTGCTGAAAACACTAGGTATACCATGTATTGTTACGAGGAAATCGTTTGTGAACTCTTCATTAAGTGCTTCTAGGCGAATTCCAATTCTTTGTTCGACTGCGAATCGCTGATTTTTGACCAGTTGGGTGGGTATTGTGTATGGTTTTTGTCACACCCTTCACCATTTCCGTGAGAGGATCCGTAAACTCCTGCCAGAGTACTGGGGGATCACAGTGTTCGTTGGGAAAATCCCATTTAAAGTCTTGCGCTAAATTCTTAAGGTTGGTGTAATCGATGAGTGTACATGAGTTAATCGTAGAAATTTGAGGTAAGGATGCATGGTAAATGCATTCAAAGAACAATACAGCATGACCACTACGCACTAATGGGGTTGTAGTAGAAATCGCTTCCACCATCAGCCACTCGTTTGCTACCATCATATCCAAAACCAACGTTGATTGGTTGGCTCCAAACCTCGTTGGTTCCATCCCAAAATTGTAAAGCGGATACGGCTCAATAAACTGATTGAGTTCCCTCTCCAACGGTTGTAGAACGTTCACTAATTTGACCAGGTTTGGGCAATAGAAGTAACCCATAATGAGGACATGAGTGAACTTCAGTGACGGAATGGTTCGTAATAGTGTCTCATCGGCTGAGTTTGTGGATGAAGGAGAACGATACATCACACTGATTAAACCGATATCGTGTTGCCTCAGTCGCACTTTGCACCACAGTGAGTCGGAACCATCTACAGATTAATAAATTACCTCGTATTTTAGTTTGCTGCAGAAATAGGGCAGCACACCACCACCCCTCATAGGTGGATTGTGTCTGAGTAGCGTCATGCCGGGTAAGCGTAACCCCGAGTTCAGAATGTCGGTTGTCAGCCAAGGTTCGGTAACCGCAATAATGTCCCGTCGACCAGTTTGGCAACGCAGTTTCAACTCTGAAAATTTGCTGAGGAAACCTTGAGAATTGGTTTAGATACAATGAAGTTGATAGCAGAGCAGCAACTCCGGATGCGAAGGGTTAGTTGAGCCGTGGTCGGCCAGGGGAAGTTTGTTGAGTCTGGTCTACTGATTGTCGCAAGGAACATAAAGTATCTGTGGGTCCAGATTGTGTAGAGGTGATATTTCCTGCCAGAAAATCACTTTTTGGTCCTGNTCCTGGGTCGCGCATGGGCCTCAAGCGCGGTTCTGGTTGTCCCTCGTTCTTGTTATCGTACCACGACTGTAAGACAGCCGTAGCCATATTTATTGTTCCCGGATTTATTTTTATTATTCTCGAGCCGTCTCGGCGGAAACTAGGAGAAAAGGGGAGACGACTAACTGCTGTAATCGAGACCTGACTACATCCAATCATATCTTAGATGAACCACCACTCTTTACAGTCATCTTGATGTGTCTGGCTCATTCGATTGCGGAATTCGAAGTGTAAGGATCACTGGGACATTGTCTGTTTCCCATACACTATTAGGATTATTCTGTTGATGGCGAAGCCCTAACACCGCAGAAGTATGTAGACATATTGAGATCGTTGTGCTTGCATAGTTCGAGTAGTGTAAGGGTCTGCGGTGGGCTAAGCAAATCGTTTGAAACCAACAGCCTTCGTCAAGAGTACCCTATTTAGCAATTCCTATTCAACCTCGTAGTAGACGAAATACTATGGAACGCACTAAGTGGTCTCCAAAATATTGGTATTTAATGGGCACCTGTAGAAGAGCTGTGCGATGTAGAGTACGCTGACAACATCCTTTTCTGTTCTTGTATTATCTGGGCAGCTTTCTCTCACAAAGGGTTCTAATAAAGTCTAGGCCATTGAGATTACGTCTGCAAGGTGACTGTTAGGATGTCCATTGAGCGTACATTTCTGTTTCGTTTATCCGAGAACAACCGCTGAGGAGACTGATCGTGAATAAGTAGATGTCACTCCGCTAAAGAAGAGTTCGTGATAAAATAACTCTGATGACTAAGAATCGGGCAAGTTTCGGTCAGTGGTGTGCAGCCATTCGATAATTCGTCGTCTTTACTCAGTTGCTTCGAAGTAAAAGGGTCCTACTTATCGAAAAATTCTCAGAACTTCAAACTTATCCATAAATGTGGTCTAGTATGGTCTAGTATACTCCCCCCCCCTCTTGTGCTTCCTCAGTGCCTCGGGAATTCAACTTGTTATTGTTCTCAAAATTGGAGTAGCTGACGGACCTCACTTTCATGCGCCGGTATTATCAGGAAAACAATTTAACCAAGATATATTTTCACACATGATAGATAAGTACTTTTAAAGACTCGAAAAAGATTTACATATCCCTTAATCAATAGAAAACATTCCTCGTATACGAGTGCATGGTGGCAGCTTCCCTACGCACCTGCTATTGATGAGGGTGTTATGTTTTGATTGGTATAACGTTTTTCACTTCTGGCAACCGTACCATATCGATCTGTTATTTTGTTCTTTTTTGTTCCTCTTTATCTTTCACATAGTTCGACTTTATGATGTTCAAACGTGCCGCTGTTACGTCTCAGCCGTCCCGGAGGATCAACACCAAAGCGCAGTGAACATGGTTCGTTGGTCCCCGAATGGAAACGCGTATGTGACTGCTGGTATGGACGGGAGTTTCAAAATATGGGACGGTGTCTCGTGCCGGTGCGTAAACACGTTCGAGGCAGCACATGACGGTGCCCCGGTCTGTTCAGTTATGTTCTCGCGCAACGGAAAAGTAAGCCTATTCACTATCTCCATGAATTAGTTCCTTCTACCTAAATTTGTAAGGTTATTAAATGTGAAGAAGATCGAAGGTGAGAATGTGCAACGCTCTATTTTTCGGGAAGGAGCCGGCTCAAGACGTGACTCTGTAGATATGATGCACGAAACGCTAATAACTCCACCTTTTCCCATAAGTTCTCTGGTACCAAGTCACCCAGATTGATCAAATTCATTATGGCGATTACACAACTCATTACCGTACAGAGAAACCGAACGGCTTTTGACTAACACTTTGCTAGACCGATATATCCTGAAATCATTGTCCCTGGGGGTGCGAACTTCTTTTCACTCCACTCCGAGTGTGCTCAGTGGAATGCCGTCCGTAGCTCGTCAAGTGAGTTGTTTGAGCCAGTCATATCTCAGGNNNGCAATAATAACTTTGCACGCGGCAGATGAACGACGATCGTCAAAGTAATGCATCGGGATTGAGTTCATGTTCCCGTTAATTGTCAAAACAGAAGAATGACACGTGGCTCAAGGCTATTGGAGGTAGAATAATGGGAAGTAATCATCTACACCAACCTCGGCACCATTATTTGTCACATCGTTGGTCAAATCCGTCGATCACTGTGGGTTGTTCCTAACTTTTTGGTCGACTCACCTCAGTATAGCTCAAGGGATCTGACAAACGATCTCGGATCAATGCACGAGACATTTCTTACGCGCTACTTCCAATCAGGTGACAAGTGCATCGAAATTATCATGATAATNTACGCTTGTTTGTGAGTGTGCGGCACAAAAAGTAGCTGATGAAAACAGCATCAAACTTACAATTCACGAAGGTGATATTGTTATAATTCAACAAGACGGTGCTGGTCGAGGATAATTGTTTGATGAGGGTTACATCTGAGAGGTCAGTAATTTAGCATGCATAACACAAAACCTAATCAGAAACGTGCCATCACAATTCTTTCCTACACACAGGGTAATATATAGAGCAGTCAGTAGTTATTCTTCCCAAAATATCACTTGGCCCTTGATGGTCTTGTTTTATTTTTGATCATCGAAAGTTACTTGCTACTCACAAGCGAGTAGTATCTCACGATAATATCAGTACCATGGCGCTCAAGTCGCGTGGGTTAGAAGTCACCTCAACTGAATTTCTGATCTAGGATCTGGAACAAGCTTCGAAAATACGATGACCCAATACATTGCAATGCGGCCACCTAAGCAATAAAGGAAACCATTTGGAGCTTGAGTACTGCACCCAATAACGGAATGCATAGATATGCATAGGTATCATTGTAGTTGAATCCACTGTCTGTGCCGTTTTATCACTTCACCCGAATCAAACACGGTCATGGTCCAAAACAGAATGGTTTATTGTCGAAATAAATACAAGTACCTTTTTCTGAATACCAAAGCTTATTTATCATCAGTTTTTTAATGAATTTATTTGCAATTCAAAATAAAGAATGCGTGAACCGAAAAGCTGAGAAGCACTGCATAGCTTCGATCCTTTTCAGCGCCCTGTATACAATGAAATTCATTGTTAAATCAAATCGAATCCTGAACAAGTATTCTGGCTCGAATATTTCCAACTTGGTCATAACCCTGAGAACTGGTACTACGACGAGGGAAATTTGATTATAATAGGTGAACAGGTAAAACACACGTTTGTTCAGGCAATAAATCATTTTGATTTGCAAATCACACTGCCATGTAGTGCCCTCTCCGTACCATCCTTATGTAATGTTCACCTTCTGACCAGTTGAAAAAACCGGTTCCAATTCGGTCATCTATTGACAGCCCTTGAATTCTGTCAGGCCTATTCCCCTGTGTTGATTCGATTGGTGGCTTGAATTATAGCTTCCAATACGCACCACCCGAGTTCCGGCAATACTGCGCTTATCTTTTGATAAGACTCATTTTTCTGTCTCAGGATGCCTTTGATATAGTAAATGAAGTCAGTTTATTTGGTCACTTTCTCTTCAATGGTTCACTCGACCGAGTTCATCACCCTTCGTCCGTTGCGGTTGGAATCTCCTCTGCATAATGACTGCAACAAGCATGTAAACTTTAGTTGTATTATACAGCATACAGACAAGGCAAAACGTTCTGGTCAGTTGTCCGACGGTCAAGGGGTATGTTTGCGTTCTAGCTTTGAGCTCTTCGTTTTCGGAACGCTCTCTGGGTGACGGCGGTCAAGGGAGAAAATCCATCGTAATAATGGCTTGATTGTCTTGAGTTCCGATTCCAGCACCACCGGATTTTGGGACCTCAGTGAAAACCATCACAATTGAACCACAAAAAATGTTTTTAATAACTTTTCTCGTATCATCCTCACAACCTTAATCTACTTGAATTCTCCATTTTCTCTTCGACACTGCTTTCAATTTTCCAATCTTCCCGTTCCTTCAAATAGACAGCAACAAAAACCGCCGCATAAAAGTGTATGGTTAATGGTAGTACAAACTGAAACAGAATTGATCATCAATAGATGCATTTGCTGCAGGATAGTCGTTTCATTATTTGTACCTCATAACAAGATATTTTTCTTTCATAACACATTGTCGGCATTTTCTTCCACACTCCAATCATTCAATCATTTTGCAGTCAAATTATCTCCAGCTACTGTCATTCAGCTTTTTCAATGTTTTACAGTATATTCTCAGCTCAGGGAAGGACAGTGCTGTAAAACTTTGGGAACTGGCTACCGGTCGCTGTCTGATTACCTACACTGGAGCTGGTACCACTGGACATCAGACACATCGGTCCATGGCCGTGTTCAATCACACAGAAGACTATGGTGAGTTTATGATGATGTTTGTGAATTATTTACTCACCGGTTTAATTTTAACCTTTCCACAGACCTCCAGGATGAAATTTGAATGGATCCAACAGAGTCTCCACCTAAACTAAACATTTTGATTTCGTCTAAGATGCATTCACCATTCATTCCATGTATGGATAGACAAACAGTGGTATTCAACGCGTGGGGCTGTGCGAATGTTACCGACAATCTCCTTGAATGTTTAGGCGGCACATTTTTCGGCACTTTTTGTACGAACCGCTTTCCTTACTTTTTACAAGCTCTCTCACTTGATTTTTAACCACCCCGATTCGTTCAGTAGATTTCATCGCTTCGGGTACATTTCGAAATGTCCCCAAGTGACCTTTGTTGATGTTTACTGGGAAAACCTATTCAATGTCTCCTCGTAGCGACGGTAATGGCACAATGAAGCGTGAGGGAAATTTCCGAGGTTTTAATCGGGTTAATGGCCCCACTTTTTGACTGAGGTTATCACACCCTACTCTCCATTTCCGACTATTCGGAGTTCACGCTCCTCCTTGCAGAAACCCGAGAATTCTTTGTCGCGGAGTCCTCAGCAATTCGATCTTTTTTAATTGACGAAATGGCTCTTTTTTCGTACTCGTCTCTTCGAAACATCAAAATGTTATTCCCTTAAGTCTACCAATAAATCAAATAGTGAGTGAACATACAGAAGATGCCTGTTGCAACAAATTTTGAATCTTAATTACGGTAAAAACACCAAAACGAAAACACATTGCCGCCTCGAGAACGGCACACAAGTGACCTGTTGTACTGTGATCCGTATCTGCTCATCATTCAGGGCTTGCCATTAAAATCTGTACTCCGACTGGCCAATCGATAAGTCTTATTCGTTCACCGATTCATCTTTGCCGCATATACATGATGAGGTCCACTGACTTGTTTTGTTGATCAAATACTAGGAGAGATTTAGTCTGGGTGAACCCCTCGACTGACCTTTCATCCGGGAAGTATTGTGATAATAGTAACTGGTTCATTGTTTACTCCGAGTGACGAGGAAACGGTCCAAACAAATCAGTCAAGCCCTACTGCTGTTGATTCACAGATGAATCGATAATCGAAGAGATTTGTGATTGGTCATTATGCCTTACCGTATGGTCGGACTTTTTCAAATCAAACTTTAGATGCCCCATAGCCCAATGGTTTTGACCGTTACAACTTCATCGGTTTGCTTCCACCCCGTCGTATCACCCGGTGGTCCAAGTGCTTACTTCTTGGGTAGAGTTTATTATCAGGCAGGAAAGCTAAGACTGAATGCGTCTCGTGTATT